GTGTTAGCAAATGAGACTCCAAGGTCTCTACCCCAGGTCCCTCACTTAGCAGTTCACAATCTCATTAGCAGGTCCCTTGGAGAGTTCTAAAATTTCTTTACTTGTAAATATAGGTTGTTGATTTTTTAGGATGAACATTTTGAGGCTTCTTGGAGGTTGCTAAAATACTCAAGGGTGTAAATTGTAATATAAAAAAATAGGACATTTGGTCTTCTATTAGGTGTAGTAGAAAATATTCAAATATTTTTGTCACTCTTCTTTACCCCATCAATATATTGTCATTTGATTTTTTCATTGGATTTAAACTCAGGAGAGAAAAAAATATTCAGGAAGATGTTTGCATAGTTTAGACTTTTGTGGCATAGGAAGGCCTTTAATGTTCAGTCATTATATTTACTTTTTAATGTATAAGCAATGTTGGATTGAAACATTGGATAAGGATTAGTAATGTAATGCTTGATTGTCAAAGGTGGTATACCAGACGAAATCTGTGGTGCCAGTCTTTGGCCATGACATACATGGCCACCACCTGTTATTAGTAACATTGTTTACTTATTAGTTACTATAAGTAATCAATAATTAGTAGTGATAGCCACAAGTTATTAGTAATTATTAGTGTCAACTCTTCACTGCCATTATTCTGGACTTCACACTGACAGTCTTGATTGTTGGCTGCTACCCAGAACCACTCATACCAGGGAAAAAGTGGCAAAATCTCCAGGAAATGGATATAGCAAGCCCAGAGGAGCTATAGTTGCTATCTCTAGCCTGATATGCATACTGCCTACTCCCTTGCAATGTCAGATGGTTCAGCATGGCAATAGAAAATGTTTCTGATGCATGGTCTAGTATGTACACTAGGAAGCAATAAAGTGTGCCCAAAATAGCATTACAAAAATGCTTCTTCCAGAAACAGCAGATGGCAGTAATTATATCAGCTATGGTAAATTGCTGTCAGAGGAGTACACTTTCTTTCCTCTGCCTCCTACCTAACAGCTGATTGGGCAATAAGGTCCTACTTAGCGGCAATTTAGCGGGTTGCATTTCAATGCCACATCCCGGATTTGGGGGGAAGCAGATTGGCTGCATTTATTGTTACTCTGCCTTTTTGACTGTGATTTTTGGAGATCAAACCAGTGGTGGATAAAATATGCAATTGAAGTCAGAATCTCTGTGTTAGATTTCCACTTTATGATCAGAAAAATATATCTCTGGATCATAGATTTGGACATAGAATTGACCTTAGAAGGTCTTCCAGTTAAATGTCCTCATCCTCATTTTTTTGGATGGAGGGAGGAAATTGAGGTCCAAAAGGCTTATGTTATTTGTTCAAGGTCCCACAGGTGGTATCAGGAAGAGCTAGGATTTGATCTCATGTACTCTTGTTTCTAAATCCAGTGTTTTTGTCTTCCACAACATTCTCTGTTGTATAACAACCCCAACTCTCATTTTCCCCTTCTCCAAATAACCATTGCTTCTCAGCTCTCATGTGGAAAAGATGAGGCTCTTCATGATGATTTCTGTTTCTTCAAACCAGAGGCTGAAAGAATAAGCTTATGACCCATTCCTCTTTGCTCAATGTACACTGATGAAGAGTGTCCTTTGATTTGTGACTGTAGCCACTCATTTTACCTCTTAGCCAGTGGCCACAGTGAAAACTCATCTTGTCTCTGATAGCTGGTTGTTGTTATCATCTAAAATGTGGCCTGGACGTGTGCAAATTCTGTAGCAAGTTTTCTATCTTATTGTCCATCAGTAAACTAGCTTGTGTGCTGGTGAGGGAGCAAAATTCAGTGTCAGATCATTGCTGTTGTGTAGCAACTCTTGGTATGAATGAGGAATGTGTAAAGTGTTTTAGCTTTTTGGAAGAAATTTAGTGTACTAATGCCAATTGTTATTTTAATGTAGGAACTGAAATCTAAATCTGTGCAATTGGATCATTGTATTTAATTTATTTAAAACCCAACATTCATAAATCTTTAAAATTTCACTGCACCAAATCTTAAGGCCTTTGGATTGATAGTAATTGAAGTTTAGTTTATTTCTAAAGATATCACTTGTCATCATTGTTTAGTTGTGTTCAACTCTTTGTGACCCTATTTGGAGTTTTCTTGGCAAAGATACTGGAGTAGTTTGCCATTTCCTTCTCCAACTCATTTTATAGATGAGGAAACTGAGACAAACAGGGTTAAGTGACTTGCCTAGGGTCATACAGCTAGTAAGTGTGTGAAGCCAGATTTGAACTCAGTCCTGTTGACTCCAGGGCTGGTATGCTATCCAGTACACCACCTAGTTGTCATGGGTTAGTAAAATACCATTTCTGTTCATACTTATAATAGGCTTCTAGGAGTTAACTTTGATAGAAATGATTAGAGATCTTGATTTATAAGAAATGCAGTGATTGGATATACTGATTCATAGAGAAGGAAAGGGTCACATAGAACTTGATTTACATTCTTCAGAGGGAAATAACTTAGATTGATTTTGTACAGGTTAAGATTGCTTGTCAGTGGTTAAATTTCAAAGGAAAAATATATGTCCTCTACCAATTCATTGAATTATATTAAGAACATAAACACAATCTAATTTGAATTTATTTCCCTGAAGCCAGGGCCACTCCCTCCCTCTCTCTCTCTCTCTCTCTCTCATTGCTTATATGTAAGCAATATCACAGGAAAGATAATAATTCAGAATTCAGTTGATGATTCAGAAAGAATTACTGTCAGGATTTGAGATTTGGAAGACTCTCTATTCAAGTTATACATGAAAGGGATCCCTGTTATAACAAACTTGACAAATGGTGGCCCAGTCTCTGCTGAAAGACTTCCATTGAAGATCAATCCTCTTGAAGAAGACCTTTACCCTTTTAGTCTGCTCTGTTTGTTAGGAAGTTTCCCTGTCATCAAGTTCAATATTGCATCTTTTCTCCTGATTCTGCAAATAAAAAAATTCTAATCCCTTTTCCATATTACAGACTTTCAATTATTTGAACACAGCCATCATGTCTAGCCCATGACTTCTCTTTTTCCAGGTTCAATATCCTTAATTCCTTCAACAGGTCCTCATGTGTCAGGGACATAAGGCAACCCTTCTTGCCAGCCTCTGACAATCTCCAGCCAATAAATTTCCTCCTTAAACTGGGGCACCCACCATACAGTACTCTAGATAAGATCCCACAAAGGCATATTATAAGGGGACTGTCACCTCCCTATTCTTAACCCCAAAGCCACTCTTAATTCAGCCAAAAATTCCATTTTTTTTTGAGGGGGAAGAGAGGCTTTCATATCACACTGCCAAATTTGTTTTACTGTGTTCTATAAAACTTGTACAGGAATGCATTTGCTTTATGTAATTTGTAATGCTTGTTAGTAGTAGCAACCATAATTTTCTGGAATTTTAGCACTAAAGTCACATAATATCCTTACTATTCACGTGGAAGGGGAATTTCTCCTGCCTGAAGTAGAATTTAACTTTTTGTTCTCTAAATAGGCTGGCTACAAATGGGAAATAGTAATTGACTTTTATTTAAGGAGTGAGGATTCTCGCTTTGATGGTACATTATCACTTCCACATTGCAGGGGTAGGGGGGTGGCACTCCCCACAATCTGGAAAATCCATGTAAAATGTTTGGCCCTCCCTTAGTTACCAGAGAAGACTAAATTTTTTTTATTTTCCTTTATGGGGTATTTCCAGTACCTTATTGTAAAATTTGGGTTAAGTATTTGATCATAGGCTCTGGGTCATCTGCTGGCCTTTTCTGTCATCTGCTGCATCCACAAAACTCCCCCCAAATTTCCATTTAATTTCTTATGCCTAACTGTAATATATTAAAACCACAATGGGGAAAGTCATGATGTGGATTCTCATGGGAATTGTCCAATGCCTGTATGGTTAACTCTAATAGGCTAGCTAATTTATAAGCTCATAGGATCCTAGATTTACTTGGAAGTTCAACCCTAGTCCTACACATTTATTTTACAGTTCAAGGAAATGAGGTAAGTTGGTGAGCTCAAGGCCAGGCCACTACTTCAGTGTCTGAACTGGGATCCAAATATGTGTTTTCCTATCTCCAAGTCCAAGACCTCTCTTCTCCTCGCTACACCACACTGCTTCTTGCAGAAGTAGAAAGGTTTCCTCCTTTCTCCTGCTTCTCAGACTTGGTGATTTATTGTGAAAGAGGCTATCGATTCCTAGCCTGAGACCAAGTATGCTTTATAATTTGGAAGATGGCATAATTACCAGTGTCTTGATATTTTTCTTGAACTCACAATTGTTTATATACGTGCTAAATCATTTTTTAAAGTTCCATTAAAGTAGTCTAACCCTGAATTCTTTGTTAAATAGTTCTGGTCCCATAGTCTAGTCCCAAGTGTAGGCCTTCTTGAGGGTAGAATACTAGAGTGGCTAGGATGAGGAAGACTTAAGTTTCAGTACCTCAGATTACTGTGAATTGGGCAAATTACTCAACATTCTGACCCCTAATATCCTCATCTGCAAAGTGGGGATAATAAGAGCACCTATCTCATACAGTTGGAGATCAAGAGAGATAATGAATGTACTCTGAAAAGTCCTATAGAAATGAGAGTTCTAATCTCAGATAGGAGAGTGGGAATCCACTGATCATTTAATTCAGGCCAACCTGAAGCATGGATCTCCCCTATGATGTCTCCAGTATCAATGGGCACCAACTCTCTTGAAGACCTTCAGTGATGGCAAACTTACTTCCTCTTGAATTAGGTATACTTGGACAAGTATTGTCCATACTTGGATAGCCCTAATTATTATGAAGATTTTGCATTTATTGAGCTAAAATTGAACTTGTTTTCACAGAAGCTAAGCAGAAGCAACTGTTTTGAATACTATCCCAGATTATATCCAGGAGTAAATGATACACTTTGATTTGTTTTTCTATTATATCCCATGTAAAGTATGAACTTTACCTTATCTATTTATAAGGAAAATATAGATTTCTCTTTGACAGTATTTTGTGTTGATTCTAGGGAGCATGACTTCGGCCACTTCACCTATCATTTTGAAATGGGACCCCAAAAGTTTGGAAATAAGAACTCTGACAGTGGAGAGATTGCTGGAACCCCTTGTCACACAGGTAAGACAATTTGTCTTTTACATTCACATGGCTCCATCTTCATTATGTTGTGCCTTGTGGGAGAAATTAGAAGTCTTATTAAAAGAGAAATCGACTGTCCTCTCCTTTTTATTTAATACTGTGCCATTCATTGAACATTGTTTATTGTTATTTCAGACTACATTTTCCAAAGTGTGCTTGATCAACTTCTTGGCCAACTGGGATTTAAAAGTCTTTTTTTTTTTAAGTCACCCATATGAAGGCATATGATTCATGGAATTAATTTGATGGGATAAGTGAGTAGAACTACTGGACCTGGGTGAAAGGGGACCTCATCTGCAGTTCTGAAATCAAAGTCTATATAAAAGATTTCTTCCTCACTTTTAAATGCAAATGCATAGCTAAGAAACAGGGTTTATAAGCTGAACATTATCTATTGAATTTCCTGTCAGTTGACAAAGCAGCATTCATCTCATTGAGATGTTGAACTGTCCCATTTCAGGGTTGTCGTACCTTGCCATATTTCATCAAGATAACCGTCTCCAGAAAAAAAAAATCTCAAAATGTTCCAGTTTGCCTAGCTCATTTTGGAGGACATTTTGTTAGGGAAAAATATTTTTTTCTCATGGGAATTGTCCAATGCCTGGACTGGGCTGGACGGTCCTGGTAATCTCCAAGTAGTAACAATGAGGGAGTTTGCTTTTGTAACGTGTTATAAGAAGTAGTTTTATGTACAATGCATATGACTTATATCAGCAATATTGTATATTATTATTGAGAACAACTCTGTGAATTTTCATAAGACCTTATATTTTATCATTATTTACTTTCTACTTACAAAAAGTCCTTTTGCTAAACCTCCCTACTCCTGGAGGCATATAAGGATACTTTCAATCTCTCATACTTGGTTCTCACCCTAGGAGTTCTACTCCTATCAGTTACATCTGGGATTGCATAAGATTATAGAAGAACACGGGTCTTTCTCTTCCCTCTTTGTCTCCATCGGTCATGATCTGTATTTGTCAGAAACTGTACAAACTTGTGAAACATCAAGCAGGATGCCTTACGTTTCCATAACTTGAGGCCCCAGCTTCTCTCTATTTATTTATAGTGGTTTCTGGTCTCAGTTTCCTATGGAAGAGCTGGAAATGAAAGTTGTCTGCAGAAGATGGCAAACATGGTAGGAATTTATCAGACAACTTAGGTTTTAAAAGGGTACATAGTGAAGGTGGAGGTAAACCTAGGCAGTGAAAAATGGGTAGGGGTGTGGTACAGGTGAGGAACAAGAATGTCAGGAATGCTAATGCTCAAAATGTGTTGAGGTTGGTGAGGAAAGTAGACAACCAAGAGTGATTATTTTTAAGGCTTGTGTGGTGCTTTGTCCTTCCTTCTTGTAGAGTACCATGCTGTCAGGAAGATGCCATGACTTGTAATTGAATTGGATTTCAGTGAGGGAGGTCTCTGCAAAATCACCAGCCTCACTTTTTCCTCCAGAACCATATGGGTCCAATGGCCAGATATCAATCCAGCCAACTGGAGATGGCCCAGGATGCAATGGGGGACCTTGGCCTTTTTAAGCTAAGGTCTTTAAAAGTTCTTACTTTGACTGAGGCAACACCTATTCAGTGCTTAGGCCTGTTTAAGAAGTGAATCAAGGAATCACCCCTTTAATAAAAAAAAATCAAACTGGGAGGGGAAGACCCTGGTTGTTGCTGGCTGAAAGAGAAACAATTATTATTTGCATTCACTATGAGTTATTGGGGCCCCAAGATAACCATTAAGTGGTGTTTGGGCAGGGTCCTATTGTTGGCTTCTTTTTAAAGCTATCTTATGGACGAAAGAGGATGAGAGAAGGGGTCGTACTGCTTCTTAGAAAGAAGGCTGAAATACTCAGTTGAAAGTTTTGCTTTATGTTTCTTTGCCAAAGAGAATAACTTTTGTGCTAAGACTAACATAGATGATACCTGGAGAGGGTGAGAGGGTGGGTATGTGGCACAGTGGATAGAGTACCAGGCCTGGAGTCAGGAAGACTTGAGTTCAAATCCAGCCTCCAACTCTTTCTAACTGCGTGACTCTGAGCAAATCACTTAACCCTGTTTGCCTTAGTTCCTCATCTGTAAAATGTGCTGGAGTAGGAAATGACAAATCACTTTAGTATCCTTGCCAAGAAAAATTAAAGCGGGGTCATGAAGAGTCAGACATGACTAAATTGAACACCTGCCCTTGATGAATTAAGGTCATAGACAAATCAAAGGACTGGGGTTGGAAGGAATGTTGGAGATCCTCTTGCTTCACCTCCTTAACTTCATGCCACTTTAGCAATATCACCCAGCATTCAGACTGTACTGCAGAGAGTACACCTCCAATAGGCTGCCCACCTAGCCCAAATTCCAAATGTCCTTTTACCTAAAGGACTATTTTACATAGAAGTCACACAAGGCAAGCACTCACATGGACTTCAGAAGAAATGGTACAAGGACACTCTCAGGGTCTCTCTGAAGAACATTAGTATTGATTGGGGGACACAGGAGACACGGACACAGGACCATCCAGCATGGTGGACTAGCATTAAAGAAGTCACTGGGCTTTATGAGCAAAGCAGAATTGCAGCAGCACTGAGGAAGTGTGACATGCACACATCTAGAGACATCTCCATCGTCAATGTAAAGAGAATCTATTTTGCCAGAATTCTGGTGGGGCCTTTTGAACGGGTCAGCCACAGTGGAACTCACTGGACATTGCCTCCCAAATCATGATGTCATTGGGCCTCTTGGGAAAAAGGAGGAACAACAATCAACTTCATGCTGCACTCTGCTTTACTTTTAGGTGTTGTCTTCTCCCATTAGAATATAAGCTCCTTGAGGGTAGGGATTGTCTTGTTTGCATGTTTTCAGATCGCTTGTTTGGCTGCATTTAGCATGATTTCTAGTTCAGATTAAGTGCTTAAAAATGCTCTAGTATAACCCCCTCACGTTACAGATGAGGACACTGAGACACTGAGGGCTTGAAAAGACTTGCCCAAAGTTAAAAAAATACTAAGTACCTTGTTTGAAGTCCATACCTCATCCTCCGAGATCAGAGCACCAGTTCTAATCATCGCACCCAGATAAACTGTCTTTTTTTACTGAAAGACTGAGAAATTACTGAAATAATGAGGAGTTGGTGGAGGCATTATCAGTGATATTTCAGAGTTCATGGAGAACATAAGAGGGGCTTGCTGAACAAGTTCAATCTGGTTGATGTTCAATGCTTATAGTAGTATCCTGACTCTTTATGACCTCATTTGGGTTTTCTTGGCAAAGTGGTTTGCCATTTCCTTTTCCAGCTCATTTTACAGATGAGCAACGAAGGCAAACAGGGTGAAGTGAATTTTTCCCCAGGGTCACGCAGCCAGTAAGTGTCTGAAGCCAGCTTTGAACTCAGGAATGAGTCTTCCTTACTTTGGGCCTGGCACTCTATCCACTTGGGCCACCTAGCTGCCTATGCAGCTTTCAGCATGGAGAAGGGCACATATTGACTTCTTTTTTTAAACAAGGGGGAAGCAGAAAATATCTGTCAGTTACTTTAATTTTTGGAAAAATTCTAGAGTAGATTATTAAGGAGAGATTTAGCCAATATCTAGAAAAGGAAAAAGTGATTGCAAAGAGTCAGCATGACTTCATCAAGATCCAGTCATGATAACATAACTATTTCTTTTTGACAGGGATTTTGAAATGGTAGATTAGGGCAATTTTGTAGGCATCATTTATTTAAATTTTAGCGCATCAAGTATACTTGTGGAAAAAAAGTAGAGAGATGCGGGTTAAACAGTGATGCCTATAAATGAGTTTGGAGTTGGTTAAATGGAAAGACTGAAAGAGTCTTTCAATGTCAGTTTGGCATGGGGTCTCTTCTGGTGCTGTTTAACATTTTAATCATTGACTTGGATAAAGGCAGGAATGGCATACCTATTAGATTTACAGATGGCACAGAACTGCTAGAAATAGCTAACATGCTAGATGAGAGGATCAGCATGCAAAAAAGGTTTTTTAGGCTAGAACATTGTGTCAAATCCAAAAATGTATTCAGTAGGAGGAACTATATGGCCTTGCTCTTGGATTCCTAAGTACAAAAATGGCAGAGCCATGATTAGACCAGTAGGGAAGCGGGGGTTAGTTCTCAGAAGAGTAGTCAATATGATTTAGTTATGTGATGTCATAGCCAAAAATATGAATATGATCTTGGCTGCATTAAGCAAGGCAGATCTATCAGGAAAACACAGAAGTGATGGTCTCATTGTATTCTTTCCCAGTCACAGAACATTGAGAGCATCATGCCCGGTAATCTTGGGAGTTTCCAGAAGAGCACAATCAGGATGGCAAAAGACATTGACTCCATATCATATAAGGATCAGTTGTGGGAACTGGAGATGTTTTGTTAGAAGAAGAGAAGATTCAGGGGTGGGGAACATGACAGCTGTCTTCAAGTATTTGAAAAGGGCTATTATGGGGAAAAGACTCTTGGCTTGGCATCAGACATTAAAATATATGCTCCTTGAATCCTGGGGCAGGGTCACTTTTGAATTTGTGTCTGTAATGCCTGGCATGCACTAGACACTTAAGAAATGCTTATTAGTTGAATAACCTCTTCGATCCCAGGGAGGAGAAGTAGGACCAATGAGGTAGAGATTCTACAAGGGCAAATTTGCTTTCTAATAATGATTTATCCCAAAATAGAATTGGTTACATTGGTGGAACTTATAGGTACTTGTTCAAAGGACAGAAGACTTGTTTTAAGCAGAAGATAAAAACTTGAATACATAATAGTGGGACTCTTTTATGGTATAAATTGGACCACTGAAGTCCAATCTAATTCTTAAATTTTAAGATTCTGTCAAGGTAGAGGAATAGCTAACTTAAACATTTAAAAAATATGTCTTATGAGAGTTACATACATAGCATGTTGTACTTCTCAAATATTTTATGTATTTTTAGTTAAATTTTTTGTAGCAATATTATGGGTCTCTATCGCCTTTCTGTTAT